ACTTGTCCTTTGATAATGTATTTCTTATGAACATGGTATGTGGAGGGGGATGAGAGAGAGAATAGCACTGTGTTTAGTTTAATGTTTGACTAGGCTTTCATTATTGGTGGAGGAATAGAAAGATGAGGGCATTTTTAATATCTTAAAAATGGCTTAGACAAGGCTGGGGTTGAAGCTCAGTGGTAGAGCACTTACCTAGCATGTGTGAAATACTGGGTTTGATCCCCAGCACCACATTAAAAATAAATAAATAAAATAAAGTATTTAAAAAATGGGTTATACATTGAAGTCAAATTTAGGGATAAAAGACTTTTTTCCTTATCATTGACATATATTTTACAAAGTTTTTTTAAAATTTGGTTTGCTGTTTTTAGGCTACAAGAACACAATTTTGAACATGATTTGAGCCTCCTTTCATGGGTGGGAAACCTCATTAGGGCTCTAATTTTTAAATATTTGACAAGCAATTAGCATAACAAATGGTTTTAGACAGTTTTGGCTTTCTCAGAGATTGAAAGGTGAAGATGCTCCTTTCTTCTGATGGCGAAAACATTTCTTATTATGATCGCAAATATGATGAACACTATGTGATGGATATTTATAAATCATGTCACCTTAAAAATTAAATGGGGCTGGGGTTGTGGCTCAGTGGTGAGGCACTTGCCTAGCACGTGTGAGGCACTGGGTTCAATCCTCAGCACCACATAGAAATAAATAAATAAAACAAAGGTATTGTGTTTGTCTACAACAGGGAAAAAATTTTAAAAAATTAAATGAACATTACACAATAAGAGGAGCCATTGTTCTGAAGTGGTGTTTCAAAAAGCAAATAAATTAGTCAATTAAAATTATGCAGTTTTTTAAAGCCAGTCACAGTGATACATGTTTATGATTCCAGTAACTTGGGAGATCGAGGCTGGAGGATTGCAAGTTCAAAGCCAGCCTCAGTAACTTAGTGAGAATCTGCCTTAAAAAGTGCAGTTTTTTTCTTAAGATATTTTGATCCTCACATTTTTAGAATTGTTGCTTTTTTATAGGCTCTCAGGCCCTTTCTTAGTACTAGTCAGCCATTCAGCCAACTGGATAGAGCACCTGCTATATATCGTCAGCAATTACTATGTAAGAGAAATACAAAGTGAATAAGAGCCAGGGATCAGGTACAAGAGGCACACAATTGAGTAGATCAAATATGCACCTGAAATGGTCAAAATGCACTTTTACTGAGTAAAGAGACATTGAAGACAAAAGTGCATATATTACTATTGAATTTTGAAATCATGCTTAATTGTACTGAATGAATGTCAACTAATGAAAAATATGATTGTTTTTTTTTCCAATATGAATCTTTTAAAATATTTTTTGGTTGTTGATGGACCTTTATTTATTCATTTATTTTTATGTGGTGCTGAGAATTGAACCCAGTGCCTCACACATGGGAGGCAAGCACTCTACCACTGAGCCACAACCCCAGCCCTCCAATATGAATCTTGACCACAGTATTTATTTGCATGTTTGTTCTTACTGTTCTCATTGCCTAGAATGCTCTTCCTCTCCATCCTCATCTGATGAAATTCGACTTTCATTTAAGGGCCAGTTCAAAGGCTCCCAATTCTATGAATCTGAGGCTTACCCCATCTTGGCTTGTCTGTTGGACTGGAGACTAGAGTCCCACTCCTTAGAATTTCATGAGTGATACTTCTCCTTCCTTCTCTCTGGTACTTCTCTTCTGTCTTCTTTCATGTCTGTTCTTCTCTGACCTTTTTTGAAATTCTCTTTGGAGGATCAAATGTCTGGGAATTCTGATTCTGTGGTCTTAATTACCTGCATTGTATGATCCCCCCCCCCAAGGCCTAATCTTCTAATAACTACCCCTTATTTGAGTTGTAGCTCCATTTCTCAAGCTGATTTCTGGACATATCCACTTGGATGTCACTATCACCTCAAACTCATCTTCACCCCTATCCTCTACTCTCACCTCAGTCTCCTTATTTAAATCCAGAGCTGGTCATGTCTTCTGAGACTTTAGGACTCTAAATGACTTTTTTGAGTTAATCTTTTTCTTTTTTATATATATCCAGTGAGGCAGATCTGACCTTAATTTAAATCTTACGTCTTCATGAAGACGTCTCTGCTCCCTTATCTGGAGCTTTTCATGCTCCAAATTCACCTGTTCTACTCAATTTATATCAGAAGTGGAGCTGAATATGACATTTGACTGTTTCCTGTAGGCTAAAATGAATGAAGTCCTGTTGTTCTTCATTGGAAACAGTTCTCCTTTCTTCTCTTCCTATTCTCCAACTCCTTCCCCTGTCCGCTCTCCTCATCTCTCCTCACCTACGTGAAAACGAGTGCCTCCTAAGTGTCCTCCCTCAACATAGCATACTTGTGCACCCTGTCTCAATGCTTATGATCATAGAGAATGTTCTTCTCCCTCTTCTCTGCTTAGCTAAGTTATCTTCATCTTCTAAGAGCAGGCCCACTGCCTACTTCTAACTAGCCAATATTCCTGGATCTTCCAATACTCATGGAAGATTCTCTTCTGTGTGACGAGGTGTTGAGTATAGAGGCAAAAAGTATATATATTGGATCTAGGAAAACCTGGATTTGGGTCACAGTGATGTTTACTCACTGTACAAGCTTAATTTCTATGAGCCTCAGTTTTCTCATTTATAAAACAGAAAAATCACTTTACCTTACAGAGTTGTTGCAGAACTAAATAAGATCCTGCAAATAACACATCTGGCACATGAGAACTACTATTGTGACCAAGGTCGTCTTGAGTGTCTTGCAAGGCTGATATACTACACGCAACTCCAGGGTGTTGCTGCAAAGATGGTCCTTTGTACTTGTGAAATGCTCTATTTGCACACAATAATCTCAACTCGAACATAGTAGTATTGATGTGCTTAGTGTTATTTGCCAAGTTGCATGTATCTGTTTTAGTGTTTAATGATCTATAATGTGAGGAGAGGATGGGGCAGGAAGTGCTAGTTCTCTTCTTCATAGTTTCATCTACTGTTGCTTCTCTGGCCCCATTGCTCACCACCATCATCTGTCCCTCCACCATGCCTCCATTGTATTGGACTGGGCTTCTTGTACGTTGTCTGATGACCTTGGCCCAGTTTCTCATGTCTTTGCACAAGCCCATTCTCTGGATTGCAATAGCCTCTATAGCCTCTAGCTCCTTAGACATCTGTACCTATTTCCCCATCCTGATTAGATTTGTTTTCCATTGCATCCTTGGCATCTGACATAGTGCCTGGCAGAAAGGAAAGGTGCGAGAAATACTTGCTCCATGAATTCACTGCTTTCAGGAATCATTACCTGGATCTCCTCCAGAAGGGGCAGGATTTTAAAACGAACCACTGTGTTTCTTCAACTATCTTGACTGCATTTCTAATATCTACTCATCTAATGCACTTAGCCAATGTTAACAAGTGCAAATGTTGTGCTAAAATGTCATCTGTTTATTTAAAATTTTTTATTGACAAATCAAAATTATATGCACTTGTAATGTACAATATGATATTGTGAAAGCAGATTCTTAATAGGTGCATGTTTCTTAATCACTCTATGGCTCAGTTTCCTTATTTGTAAAATAGGTGTGATGAGAGTACTTTTCTCATAAGTTGTAGTAAGGATTCAATGAAATGCTTTTGCTATCTGGAATGTTTTCTCTTTAGATCATCAATGGACTGACTCCTTCATCACATTCAAGATTCAATTCACCTGTAATCCCAGAAACTTGAGAGCCTGAGGCAGGAAGATTGTAAGTTCAAGGCCAGCCTCAGCAACTGAGTGAGATCCTGTCTCACAATTTTTTTTTTTTTAAAGTACTGGGCATATAGCTCTGTGGTAAAGTGCTTCTGGGTTCAACCCCTGGTAGAAAAAAAAATTTCAAATGACGAGTCTTCAGAGGCCTTGCCTGACCACACTCATCTGACCATACTCTGGCCCTTTCATCAGTTTTCTTCTCTTTATTTAAAGTTTTCCATGGCATGTGTCACTAACTGAATTTATCTTTGTTTACCTACTTGTTTACTAGCAGTGTGACTGACTTCATTTTCTGAGTCTTTCTCTGCGCAATGACATATTCTCAGTGTCTAGAGCCATGCCCAGTATGTAATAGCACTGAAAAAATGAATATTTATTGAAAAATTTACTTATTCCCCCCAAGCCTGTGAGAAAGGTAATGGAATCCAAACTTTGGTGAAATTTTTATGATCATATATTTTGGGGACAAAAACTTTCAAAGTATTATCAGGTTGTGTCTAAAGTATAATATCTAGCTCTGAACTTCAGGGACTTACCACTTAGCTAGTGGAATGTGATGTGTATGATTCTTAGAACCACTGGTGAAAATCACCAGAGCAACCTATGCTGAGTTAGCTTTTTGTCACTGTGATCAAAATACATAAGAACAAATTAAACGAAGAAAAGTTTATTTTGGCTCATGGTTTCAGAGGTTTAGTTCATGTTTGGCCAACTCCATTGCTCTGAGCCTAAGGTGAGGTAGAATATCATGGCCAAAGGGCTTGGCAGGGAAGATACACCTTTCCAGGGCACGTTCCTCCTCTAGCCATGATCCACCTGCCTACAGTTACCACCCACTAATTAGTCCGTTCAAACTAGGATGGGCTGATGAGGAAGAAGCTTTCACAATCCAACCATTTTGCCTCTGAATATTCCTCTATTAACATAGGAACTTTGGAGGTACATCTCATATCCAAACCATAGCACGTGCTTTGCATGCATGAAAAGTGATATAGCTCATGATCAAACTAAAAAGGCATGTCACTAAGTTATGTTACTGGTACACAGAATAAGAAAAATGACTATACAGATGGAGAGACAGATGGAGAAAGCTTTCCTGGAGAAACTTAAATAAGAGAGAAGTCATCCTAGAGAGAACAGACACTAATATTTGTAAACCATGTAAATAGTGCCTGGCTTGTAGTAAAACTGTATATGTGTTTGTTAAATAAAAATGTCCAACTGTATTTTCATTCTACCAGAATTTTATTTTTTTCCTTTATAAAGGTATAAAAATACAAAATCAAGAAGTTATCATGAGTTGCCATTTCTCAAAATTGCTCTTAAGAGGATCACAGGGCATTTATTTATATGATATCAGAAAATACTACAAACTAATTCTAGAAATGGCATCTTCAGGAGAGACCCCATACTTATCACATGGGTTCAATCAGATCATCTGAGGGAAGACACCAGTCTTCACAAACACTAAGAAAGTAAGAAGACCGCACAGGATGGGTCTCCTCAGCCTCTACTTGGTTATGTGAGGCCGGGGTACGCCGATTATTAGAGACACAAGGTGGACAGTCACAGTTGGGCCTTTCGCTGGACTGTGACAAGCTGAACACGCTGTAGTATGTGTCACCATTCTTGGCTGCGGCTGCACTATCGCTGGCTGTTCTCAAGGGAGAGGGTAGAGTAAGCCATGGGGACCGTTGGGGGGCAGCGCATGACACAGGGATCACATACTTAGAGGAGGTACCCTTAGAAGCATAGTGCAACTCAGTGCTGTAGATAACCATATCCTGAGAGACAGCCTTGACTCTGATGCCACATTCAGTAACACGGTAGGTAAACTGGTAGAAATGTGGCTGAACATGGTTGGCAGGGCAACCCAGGCCCAAGTGCAGCTCATAGAAGTGTACATAGACATCATTGTTCAACATAAAGGGGTGGACCGTGACCATGAACCAATCAATGGAACACAGCACAGTCATGGGATTTTGCCCAGAGCAGGCTGAAAACAGAGAGGCAAACAAGATCACGCCCCCGACCATGTTGAAAACTTTCATCTTTGCAGCCAGTCAGGTGACAATCCACAGGAAGCAGGAGGATTCCAACAAGGATTTCTAGAACACACAAAAACACAAGAGGTAACAGCTTATTTTCAACTGAACATTCAAATATGATTTTTTTAAGCAAAAGGTTGTTCCTAAAACACTAAGAAGAAGAACTAGGTACACTGGTATAAACCTGTAATTCCAGCAAATCAGGAAGCTGAGACAGGAGGATTGCAAGTTCAAAACCAGCCTCAGCAACTTAGCAAGGCCCTAAGCAACTCAGTGACATCATGTCTCTAAATAAAATATTAAAAAGGGTTGAGGATGTGCTCAGTGGTTAAGTACCCATGGGTTCAATCCCCAGTCACACACAAAAAGATAATAAGTGTCTAAGATATGATATCAGAAAGAGGTGAAAAGCAAAGAAGGAAGAAATAAGGAAGAAAGGACATCAAATGTCCAACTCAGTTTTCATTTTAAAAGTGGAAATGATATATCAAATTCAAAGTGCCTAAAATTTAGAAGGAAATTTCTATGCATAAGGGCAGGGCTCCACTTTTGTTCCCAGCTGCAGGTAAGTAAAGAAGAGATAAGTAAACCTTGCTTAAAAGAATTCATTTTTTAATAATATTTATTGAGTGCCTACTATGTGCAAAAGTCTTGGGATAAAAAGCATCTCCAAACATTCCTTCTTCCTCTTTCCCCAGTTTCAAAAATGCAGCTCTTTCTCTTCATTTGCTAGTGATGGATTTGCTGCATTCTTTAAGGGAAACCATAGCATAGGGGCCGTCTAGCAAAGTGCACTGGCCTGGATGAAATGCTTTGTTTATGAGGACAGCTCACTCTCGGCTCTCTCTTTAATGACTCCTCATTCTCTTGGGGGTGTTGGTGTATAAAGAGAAGCCAAAAGACTCTGCCCAGTTCTTTCCTTTCCCCTTTGTTCATTCATGACTCTCCTTGGGCAGTTTTTTCATTTTTCACAAAGCAAAAATAGAACAGCAGCAACACACACAAGAACCCTGTCCCCTCACCCCCCAAAACAAAACAAATAATATAAAACAACAAAACAAGTAAATTCTGATGGGAACTAGTCCTAGATGATTCAATAGTTAAAGCAACAAACCACTTATGATGTGGGATTTTTGCTGAAGTTTCTTCGGTAAGCTAAGAAAATCACATCTTCACTACTACACCATTGTCTTGATCTAAAGGAGACCACTCAGTCCTAAGCATGCTTTACAGGTAGCTTTCTCTCCCTCTCCCTTTCTTTTTCCTTTTTTTTTTTTTTTTTGGTGTGTGGTGCATGAGGATTAAACTCAGGGCCTTGTGTATGCGAGGCAAGCATTCTACCAACTGAGCTAGATCCCCAGCTTTCCCTTCTTCTTTCTCCTTATTTCTTTCCTAATCATCACCTCACAGCCTGGACCCTTCTGTCCTGAGTGAAAACATCCTGAATAGACTAAGGAAACAATCTTTTCAACTCATTTTTGTTGTTCAAACACTCAAACTGAGGCCCAAGGTGAAGGTGGTTCTTGTCTGGGGAGTTAAACCATCAATTTCCTCTCCCTCTTTAAGCATGTTTCCTATATTGCTCTCTTCCCTCTCCCTCTCATGGATAATTCAAATAAAGGTACAAAATGGCCAGATTCTCTGAGAAACAAGACGGTTGACGCCCAAGCAATCATTTTAGACTACCTCCCTACTCTGAATCAGGCTGAAGGAAGGGGTTGGGTGACATCACTGAGTTTGGGGATTCATTTAGGCCAAATCTCCAAACTTGGACAGGACAGGATAGAATCTGTTTCCACTGATTTTCTTAAAGCCTGGAGTGGATTGTTATGTGATGCAAGCAAAAAACAGACGCCTGTGTATGTAACAACATATCTTTGAGCTCAGAAAAACAACTATCAGGGCTGGGGCTATGGCTCAGTAGTAGAGTGTTTGTCTAGCACATGTGAGGCACGGGGTTCCATCCTTAGCACACATAAAAATAAACAAAATAAAGGTATTGTGTCTATCTACAACTAAAAAGTATATTTAAAAAACTTTATGAAGAAGTCAATGGCATCCACATTTCAGGCTGTGCAACTCTGAGGTGAGATTGAAGAAGGGGAGATGGGAAGGACAGTGCAATGCACTTGCTAATGAGCTTGCTAATGTTTAGCTCAATGCTACACTTTTGAGACCGGCTCCTGTTTGCAAAGTATAAGTCATCAAAATACACAGCTTCCCTTCCCCAGCTGCCTACAGTTCCCACAGAAGGGGAGGTTGGATGTGTGTGTGTGTGTGTGTGTGTGTGTGTGTGTGTGTGCTTGCATGTGTGTGCGCTGTGCTGTGTATCTGTGTGTTGGGGGTGGTTATAAGGCTGTCACAACACTGTGTGAATTGATCAGATCAGCTGGCTTTTCTAACACCTAGCTGGGATGTGCTGGCAGAATGGGACCTGGAGGAGGGAGGGAGAGTGTGACCTCTGATTACTGGAGGCAGAGGAAAAGGAAGGCCAAGGGGCTAGAGATAGGAAGGAAAAGCCAGAAGAGAGGGCTCTGTGAGGTCACCAAACCGAAAGGTATTTTTAACCTTAGGTGGGGCTAGGCATAGCAGTCTGGGAGCTGTGGACAGAATTCTAGTTAGTCTCCAGGAATATTCGGAACTGAGGGGAAGTTGGGGACTGGGGAAGAAATAAATTCAACGACAGGAGTGCTCACCTTGGAAATACTGTGCAGCTTCTGGTGTCAGGGCCCTTAGAAAGCAGGTCTCAGTTTCGTATGATCAGAGCCCCATTTTGAGTTGATTGCAAATTTGCCCTGCATCAAGCTGAGATGCTTTTGTCTAACCAAGCAGGGCTCAAACTATTGGTACATACAGTCCTGAACAGAGCTATAGAGGCTGGGCAGACCCACAGCTGCTCATAGCACCTGGATGCAGAATGTTTACTTTCCTTGCAGCAACACAGTACAAGCAGCTTTCTGTTTTTTCAAATGTGGTTGATGCATATACATTCCCCATTAGCTCCTTTAGCAGACTTTTTTCTTCCTTTTTCTCTCCTTAATAACTCCCTAATAAGCCTATTTGTTGATAAATCCTTTACATTAAAAAAATCATGAAATGTTTCATTTTGGTAATATAAACTCTATTTCCATTCCCCGGCAATCAAATCTGTGTTTTAAATTAAGTTCAGAAAGGGCTGGGGTTGTGGCTTAGTGGTAGAGTGCTCATCTAGCATGTGCAAGGCCCTGGATTCAATCTTCAGCACCATATAAAAATAAAAAAAAAGGTATTGTGTCCAACTACAACTAAAAAATAAATATGAAAAAAATTAAGTTTAGAAAAATCCAAGTATGTATGTTGAAGTGATGCCCATATTAGTCACTGAGAATAAATACAAGTGAAGCGAGCACTGTATCACTGAGTCACAACCAGTCAGATTAGCAAAGTTCAAGATCTTGGATATGAGAACAAAACAGTCTGCTTTTCTTTTTTCTCCTCCTTTGTGATACCAGGGATTGAACCCAGGGCTGCTTTATCACTGAGCTACATCCCTAGCCCTTTTGTTGTTTTTATTTTGAGACAGGGTCTCACTGTTGCTGAAGCTGGTTTTGAATTTGTAATCCTCCTGTCTCAGCCTCCCGAGCCACTGAGATTATAGGAGTGCACCACCACATCCAGTTCTATTTTTTTTCTTATACATAGAAATGGAATGGACTGGCACAAACAAAGTTAAGAGGAAAGAAGCTTTGCTACTTAACTATCATATATTCTTATGCTAAAAATGTTGTTTATAAAGTTGAGCACTGATTTTTAAAAAATTGACATATATACAGTTATTTCTCAGTACCCATGGGGGATTCTTCCCAGGAACTTCAGGGATATCAAAATCCACAGATTCTTAAGTCCTTTATATATATAAAATGGCATTTATTTGCAAAGAACTACATGTATCCTTCAGTATACTTTGTATCACCTCTAGATTTCTTATAATACCTAATACAATTTAAATGCTATGTAAGTAGTCCTGATACTGCATTGTTTAGAGAAACCCCAAATGGGTTGAAAGGGTTGTTTCCTTGGCCCTTACAGGATGTTTTCATTCAGGACAGAGAGGTCCAGGCTGTGAGATGATATTCAGGAAAGAAAGAAGGAGAAAGAAGAAGGGAAAAAACGAGGGAAAAAGCCACCCCTAAAGCATTTTTTAGAAAAATCTCTGTATGTTTTCAGTACAGATGTAAGATTAAAAAAAAATTTTCCATGTTGGGTGCCTATAATCCTAGCAGTTTAGGAGGCTGAAACAGGAGGACTGCAACTTCAAAGCCAACCAAATCAAACATAAAAAGGGCTGGGGAATGTAGTTCAATGGTAAAGTGCCTCTGGGTTCAGTCCCCAGTACTGAAAACAAAATACCAAAAATAAAACATGATTTTTATCTTACAAAACCAACTCTACCTGTAAACAGCTCCATGTCTACTCACCCCCATACTCCAACACCATTTTTGAGAAAGGGACTTCAGACCTCACCTCACACACAGTTTAAACAAAATTAAATTAAAATATATCAAATATATAAATGTGAAATCTAAAATCATCAAACTTGCCTGGTGTAGTAGCTCATTGGTAAGGCACCTCTAGGTTCAACCTCCTATATTGCCCTCCACTCACATACACAAAATTCCTTCTGTGAATGTGGAACCCATGGATACTGAGGACCTACAGTATTTGTGGGGAACAATGTGTTATTATGATACGTATATACATTGTGAAGTGATTAGATCAAACTAATTGACATATCTAGACCTCACATACTTCTAAAACTTGAGCGTTAAGAATAATAGTTACCAGAGACCTGCGGTGAGAGAAGTGAATGGGAAGAGGAGACATTGGTCAAAGGGTACAAAGATTCATTTAGGATGAATAAGTTTGTGAGATCTATTGTACAGTGTGGCGACTATAATTAATAATAATGTGCTGTATATTTCAAAATTGCTAAAAAATAGATTTTAATTTTTTTCACTAGGAACTCTGTCTTAATGTCTTACAAGAAAGTGGTTGAATATTATGCCAGGCACAGTGGTGTA